GCCTCATGGGGCTTGTAGTTTGGAAACAACAGCCGGAGGGCCGCCAGTTTGACACCCATGGTTTAGATCAAAGCATATTCATGTGTTAGAATGGGCCAGTCAAAGTCCAGACCTAAATCCAATTGAGAATCTGTGGCAAGGCTTGAAAATTGCTGTTCACAGACACTCTCCATCCAATCTGACAGAGCTTGAGCTATTTTGCAAGAAGAATGGTAAAAAATGTCACTCTCTAGATGTGCAAAGCTGGTAGAGACATCCCCAAAAAGACTTGCAGCTGGAATTACAGCTAAAGGTAATTCTACAAAATATTGACTCGGGGGCTGAATACAAATGCATGCCACACTTTTCAAATATTTATTAGTAAAAAATTTTGAAAACCATTTATCATTTTTCTTCCACTTTACAATTATGTGCCACTTTGTGTTGGTCTATCACATAAAATCCCAATAAAATACATTTACGTTTTTGGTTGTAACATGACAAAAGGTGGAATATTTCAAGGGGTATGAATACTTTTTCAAGGCACTGTACATGTTTGTCATAATTACCTTAAACACTAAAATGTTTTAAGTAAGTTTAAAGGGTATCTAAACCTAAAAACAAAAATTTATTGCACTTTTATCTGTACTTTGTAATCCTGCAAATAACACAGCCACAACACATGTCAATGGGTGCCTGGACTTATTTCACAGTATGAATTGGAGTCGTCATTGGTGTCACCTAGGCTGGACTTCAAACATATCTGCCTTTGTTCACCTCCAATACGTGTGGGGTAATGGGATTAGTAGTTTACCTGAAAAAAAGATAAGATTGTGTGCGCTTTCAGTTCATCCCACAGGAATTGATATGGAAACTGCATTTCTGGCAAAGTCAACTGGTAAGTTCTGTACTTGCCTAGAATATTCTTGGCATGAAAAAAATAATACTAAGGCAGCTGTTGCATCAATGAACTGGTTTGTCTGAGATTAATGGCTATAAACACAGAGGTGTACAGTATCATAGCTAAAGTTGCCACATCTATGGACTGGTTTAGTTGCAATAAATGTATGTTTGTTATGTAAAGTAGAAGTAAAGACAAAAATAGTTTTGCATTTTGGAAAGAAAAGGTCATATCCCCTATATATATATTTTTGTCATCTTTATCCCATTGGTAATATTTCCCTTCACTTTCTGCCCTATAGTCCAAGGAAGTGAGAGGAAATACCATCAATGAGAAGGAATTTCTGGTTGTCACCATGATTACCAGAACAAGTATCTCCTTTTGGATGATTTCTTCTCTCTCCTGTTATGGTGACAACCCAGAATTGGGGATTTTCTTTCACTTCCACCTTAGGTGATAATGGTAAATAGGACAAATAGGGGGAGTGAATCTCCCCAACAGGGGCACAGACAGCAATAAAAACTGACAGGGGTTCTGATCCACCTCCACGCCATTCAAAAATAAGAAAAAGTTTTGCCTTTAGTTATACTTTAATGGAAAAGAGGAAATGTCTCTACTAACTAGTCCGATCCTTTCTTTAAATTTCCAACCCGAAAATGCCTTCCGGCATGTGCTATGTACTGTATGCTATTTTGACTGTGGACAAGCACTGTGCCGCCTGAAGGCTGTGCTTGCTTGTCAAATCAGAAAGGCAAGGCTGTTTGTTATGAAAGCAAAGTGTGAATGCCTTTTTATATATCAGATTTTAGTTATTTGCAGTATAAATAGTAAATACAATGTTGTTTTTAGCAATGTAACCATTTCCATGCTGATTTCTTCTGTCACTACAAGATTTTCCATTTATTTCCTTTTTTACATTTTATTATCAAATGGGAAAACGTCATTTTAACCGTATATAATTTTCCACTCAAAGGTAGAATTGTATTCCAAAATACCTATTTTCAAATGTGCCTGTGACACATTTATATGAACAAGATGTGAAAATGATTTGATTGATTTTGCTATCAATTCTAGACTGTGATGAAAATTCAGGAAGGAATTCAACTTCTAAAATATTTAGCTCATCTGTTAATGCTTTCATAAACATGTTAAATGATATCCTAAGAGTGGATGACTAGCACCCCAACATAGCTTCTGCACATACTGAAAAACAAGATGCTGGCAAAAAATATCCAAGCAAAACCTGAATTGTCTAATGTCTAATTGTCTAGATGTGCGGCCAGTAATTGTTCAGATTCTAGTCATCCAATTGTTTCCTTTTTTCTTTAAAAACAGCTTTGGAAATCCCAAGTCAATCACAAACTGGCAAAGGGGGATCTACAAATTAGTGCACTGATTTCCACTTAAAAAGTGGAACATTTCTGTTTTAACTTCTTGTTTTGAGTCTTTATTTCAAATGTATTTAGGAAGCACTTTGAAAGTGTGTAGACGACAGCACTGTGAGTTACATTCCATTTGCTTTTTCTCTTGTACTTCAGTTAATGGGAACACTGTCAGTTCATGTCAAATCTAGGCAGTGCATTCTCATCATGTCTGATGTGCATTTAAGGAAGAGCTAGAATATTCCCGGCCGCAGTGGATACAAAGAGCTATTGTATTTGGGGAGGTGAGTGCTGCAATGCTGGCCCTATTGTTGGGTAAAGCCAGTATGGGGTAATAACATAGTAGCTATTGTCACTCTATTTACACCTGTGTTGCCTGGGTCTGTGACATTGAGGTCCAGTGAAGCCCAAACTGAGTAAAGAGAAAGGGGAGTCATAGTGAACCATGTGTTTCCCTTGTTTCTCTTAAATTTCCAAGTCTGCAATGATCCATTAGGTTCAAACCTTGCACCTATAGGGTCATGCAGAGAGCTGACATATTGAGTATAACCCCCTCATTAAAACACAGCTCAGCTCAAGACAAGCAGGCTATCCCCATTAAACCTCACTAACACAAGATTGTAAACATTCTGACAGTATCATCAATTTTGCTTAGCCAAAATCTACACAGCCTGTAAATGAGCCAGTCCTATCTGGCTTTTTGCATGCCATGCAACCCATTGGCAGGATGACTCTTAATCCATTTCTGCTATCATAAAATGTGATTCTACAATACACATCTGTTAGTTAGTGACCCAAATTGACATAAACATGAGCTACCCATTGTTGAGCTTAATAGTATTTCCATAATTAAGCCTGTATTTGAGCTAAGTTATTGACATGCGTTTATGAATGGATTATCTTTGTGTAAACATGACTATGCTATAGGGTATAGAAGACAAATGAGTCACTTTTCATCTCCGAGGCGACGTGTGCATCTGGGTTATATAATGTTTAGTCTCTATCAAGTTGCTGTTTCACTCTGTGTAGTAATATCTTGGTTGTCAGACAGTAAAACATGGGTGTCTAAAAATATTGATATTGGTGCTGACGGAGTGGCTGCTGAACTATCATAAAACACTTTTCAGCACAGTTCTCAGATTCTTTGATTGGTTATTTGCAGCTCAGCTTGCTAAGGGTCATTCATAAAAATCAATGATCTTAAAATGGCTGTAAAGGTTCAAGGTTTTTTACCTTCATGAATTCTATGCATGACGTTAAAAAACTTGTGTGCAGCAGGCCCCCAGAGCCCCCTTAATACTTGCATGAGTTCGATCGCAATCCAACGATGTGCACAAGAGCCTCAGCTCTCCATGGACTCTCCCTCATTGACTGAGACAGCAACAGGAGCCATAGGCTCCCCGTTGCTGACAATCACAGTCAGTGAGCCAATGAGGAGAGAGAGGGGATGGGACTGTATGTGAATAGACACACAGAGCAACGGCTCAGGAGCGAGCCTGCTTGGGTGCCCCCATGGCAAGCTGCTTGCTCTGGGGGCAGGAGGGAGGAGGCAGAAGTGCCTGCGAGGATCCTGAGAAGAGGAGGATCTGGCTGCTTTATGCAAAACCACTGCGTGGAGCAGGTAAGTATAACATGATTGTTACTTATTTTTTAAATTGCCTGTAAAATCACTTTAACAGATCAGATTGGATAGTGGATTGGGCTTGCTGAAACTGAAGACCAGGCAGAGTACTTTCTGCTTTTAATCTGGTTTGTTTGCTATTACTTATTATCTGTATTTTCTAATATCTCTTCTGCAAATGTTTCTTTGTTTGCATTGTTTTCCTTTTCTTTTATTAAAACTATTTTTAAAAATTGTGAAACTGATTTCCCATTTACTTAATTAGAAATGAAAGAATACCTGCCTCTTTAAAGAAACTGTATTTTAAACTCTGTTACTTTTCTGTCTGCATGCCAGTTAGTGTCACCAATATTTCCTAAAAGTCAGAATTGTTAAAGCTACTAGCTGTAAGGGCTGTTACACTTAGATACTGTGCACGGTGTATACTTACATTGAAGTAGTTAAGTAACCCCAATTTGTGAAAGGTGAACTTGGTTTAGTCTGACACACACTAGTCATATAATCTGCTATGTTCTAAAGTAGTGGTGGCTTTACCTTACCATAGTCCTGGCATTTCAGCACCCACCTCCCTACCAGCAATAGTTATATCAGAATGTGGGGGAAAATCTTATACCTAAGATCCCATCATTCAACTAGTCTGTTACCATTCATAAAACGTGATGCATTGTGGGAAAATAATAGGTATTCTGTGAATGGTGGAGAGGGTAGAAGGGGGAGGCGGCGGAATGGCATAACAGCGGCTGTTGTTAACCTTTACAGTCACCTGAAGACAGTCACTCTGATGGCTCTCAGGGGGCACAGCAGGGAGGATTTGTAACAGAAGCAGCTGCCTGTCAGTAATGGGATACAGACTATTATACAAAACTGTGTTTGGTGCAGTGTCCAAAAAAAAATATGCTCATCCTCAGCTTCATGGTGTTTCTACCAAAACCCTGTAAATTGACGGTTTTAAAATTACAAGTGTATAAAAAGTTTCATATGCCTACTATGACCTTCTTTAAAATTCGGCACCCATGTACAGTACATTCTGCCTTAGGGAGAAGTAATGATTTTATAGTCTTCCCCTCTTTTGAGGTTTCGGAAGCAAAGTTAAAATTCTTCTTACCTTTTATATTGTAGGTGCTGTTGATGTGGCATCAAGAAGTCCAATGGCATCTTGGTTCAGTGCAATGCTTTTCTGCTTTGGTGGGGGACTCTTATCATCTCTAATGCTAGCAGAACCCCCTTTAGCAATCTTGTCGAATACCACTAATATCATTTTTGCTTCTGTGATTTGGTAAGTTCCGCTATTACATGTATTTGTGATTTTTAGAACTCAAAATCTTTACATTTACAGAACCCAGTCCATGTACCTGAAATAATTAAACTGCTAAACTAGTGTATTTCAGAAACTGTTAATTCAGAAATAAATATTTTTTTTCCTTTTTTTTTTTTTAAATTTTTTTTAAATTTTTATTTTTTTATTTTTGTTAAAATGCACATTTTAGAAGTGAAGATTAGTTAAAATGAAATAAGAAAAAAAAAAAGTTTCCTCCTGCAAGGCAATATCGTAATGTGCTAGTATTGCATAGATCTACATTATGAAAGACCTACCTTGAAACGAAGCCCTCCAGCGGCGCACAGTCACTGCTGCAGAGGCTTCCATCTTCACCCTGTTTTCTTTCCGGGTTCGCTGGCTGTGGCTGCTTGAATGGCCTTTTTCACGATGACATTACTCCCGCATCATACCTGCGTGGGTATGCCTTTCTTTCAGAGTGCATGCAGTGACGTCACTGGCTGCTGCTTGCTAGAATATCTCATAAACGGTTCAAGTTTAGGAATAGTCATTTTACCTTCAGCTAAGCTTAATTAAAGGCTTACCGGTTCATAAAAATCAAAATGCGGAGTTTACTACCACTTTAAAACTGCCAAAAATTATATACACTGCTAAGAAAAATTAAAGGAACACTTTGAAAACACATCAGTTCTCAATGGGGAAAAATATCATGCTGGATATCTATACTGATATGGACTGGGTAATGTGGTAGGAACATAAGGGTGCCCCATCGTTTGATGGAAATGAAAATTATCAACCTACAGAGGACTGAATTCAAAGACACCCTGAAAATTAAAGTGAAAAAATGATGCAGCAGGCTAGTCCATTTTGCTGAAATTTCATTGCAGCAACTGAAAATGGTACTCAGTAATTTGTATGGCCCTCACGTGCTTGTATGCATGCCTGACAACGTCGGTGTATGCTCCTTATGAGATGATGGTGTCCTGGGGTATTTCTTCCCAGATCTGGACCAGGGCATCACTGAGCTCCTGGACAGTGTGAGGTGCAACCTGGCGGTGTCGGATGGACCAAAACATGATATCCCAGAGGTGTTCTATTGGATTTGGGTCAGGCGAGCGTGGGGGGCATTCAGTGGTATTAATATCTTCATCCTCCAGGAACTGCCTGCATACTCTCACCACTTGAGGCCAGGCATTGTCATGCACCAGGAGGAACCCGGGACCCACTGCACCAGCATTAGGGTCTGACAATGGGTCCAAGGATTTCATCCCGATACCTAATGGCAGTCAAGGTGCCATTGTCTAGCCTGTGGAGGTCTGTACATCCCTCCATGGAATATGCCTCCCCAGACCATCACTGACCCACCACAAAAAAGGTCATGTTGAACGATATTACAGGCAGCGTAATGTTCTCCATGGCTTCTACAGACCTTTTCACGTCTGTCACGTGCTCAGGGTGAACCTGCTCTCATCTGTGAAAAGCACAGGGCACCAGTGGCAGACCTGCCAATTCTGGTGTTCAATGGCAAATGCCAATCCGGCTCTATGGTGCCAGGCAGTGAGTACAGGGCCCACTACAGGATGTCGTGCCCTCAGGCTATCCACATGAAGTCTGTTTCTGATTGGTCAGAGACATTCACACCAGTGGCCTGCTGGAGGTCATTTTGTAGGGCTCTGGCAGTGGTCATCCTATTCCTCCTTGCACAAAAGGAGCAGATACCGGTCCTGCTGATGGGTTAAGGACCTTTTTTACGGCCCTGTCCAGCTCTCCTAGAGTAACTGCCTGTCTCCTGGAATCTCCCCAATGCTCCTGAGACTGTGCTAGGAGACACAGCAAACCTTGTGGCAATGACACGTATTGATGTGCCATCCTGGAGGAGTTGGACTGCCTGTGCAACCTCTGTAGGGTCCAGATATCATGTCATGCTCCCAGTAGTTACACTGACCCTAGCCAAATGCAAAACTAGTGAAAAACCGTCAGAAAAGATAAGTAGGAAAAAAAATGTCAGTGGCCTCCACCTGTAAAACCATTCCTGTTTTGGGGGTCATCTCATTGTTGCCCATCTAGTGCACATGTTGTTAATTTAAATAGCACCAAAGAAGCTGCAACTGAATAACAACCCCCTCTGATACTTAACTGACCAGATCATTATCCCATGAGTTTAATTGACCGATTCTATACTCTGATTTAAAAGTGTTCCGTAATTTTTGGAGCAGTGTATTTTCTGAAAGGCAATATCGCGTAACTGAGTAATTTTGGAAACAGCTTCCATAGTTCAGTTTCTCTTTAAATGTCACATTAAATGACACTCTTTTGCAAAGTAGCATGTGTCTGTTGGCAAAATGCAATGTTTTCAATCAAAATTGCAGACTGCATTAAAAGGACCTAGGATATTGTGTATCTGTTGAAGTGTAAGTACTTTTGCTTTTTGTCAATTCAGTACATCCAGAGACTTATCTTTCAGATGATACATGTACAGTATAGCTAACTACATTTGAAAGCTGACAGTTTTTTTGACATTGTGAAACTCGCACATCACATTACGAACAATTTGCTTGAAAATCGGACACCATTTTTTTAATGACTAAATTCATATAACTCTAGTGCCATCTGCTGGCATCTTGTTGTTATAGCATCTGTGATATGTGTATATCTTAAAAGTAGCAGAATAATAGATATGCAAAGCAAATGAAATTCAAAAGGGTCTGTCTGCATAATCCATCTGTCACATATCTTAGATCTATATTTTTTTAATTATTCAGTCTCTATCTCATATATTTTATTTACCTATTTTACAGTTTATGTGTCACAGCTTTCTCATTCAATATATTTGTCTGTTTGTCTTGAGTATTTCATATAAAATGTCTGTTTTTTCTCAGGTATCTCATTTTACATATTTTTCTGTCTCAGGTATCTCATCTCATTTATTTGTATATCTGTCTCAGGTATCATTTGTACTTTATTAAAAATTACAAAGCTTTGTGTTTTACAATTTCATTACCGCTACCCGCTTGTGTATGGTCGTTGTTAAAGGGATACTCCACCAAAAACAGGGGTGATGAACCTTTTGAATAGCGAGGGCCACTTAAGTGATTTGGTAACCGGTCAAGGGGCACAATGAAATGAAATGGTTCAGAATTTTAATTTTTTTTTTTTTTTTGAATAGTATAATGAACATGTTTTTCCTGCAGTCGCTGAATACCTGCGGGAAGGAGAGGAGGAGAAGCCAACTCAGTAGTTGTAGGAGAAAAATGGGATCAGAGAGAGGATCAGTTCCTGTATATGCTGCCCCTCCTGTCCAGTTGTAAAACAGAATTTGCCAGGGAGTCTGCATGGGCCCCCTGGAGCATGGTGCGGGGCTGTCATTGCGATCCTTGATGCTAAATCAGTGGTTGGAGGCATGTGGTAAAAACACATCTCAACTATGGGCTTTTACCGCCCCTCCAAACTGCAAATGTAAATGAGCCTTTACTGTCCTGAGCCCCCAATAAGACTGCTTTCACACTGATGCACTGCTGTTTACCCGCACCGCAGGTGCAGTGCGGTGCACCTGCGGCTTTGCTGCAGGTTAGCTGCTCTTTGCTATAGACTTCTATTATATCTTTCGGGTGTGGCGCACTTTCTGAAAGTGCATACAAACTCCTGCATTCAGGAGAGTTTTTTTTTTCTGCGCTTTTAGAAAGTGCCCCAAACCCACAGAATATAATAGAAGACTATGGCTCAGTGCCACTAACGAACAGAAAAACCGCAGGTCCACTATGTTGCACCTGCGGATCAGTGTGAATGCAGCCTAATAGTTGATAACCCTTTTATATAGATGAAACTTTTGGGTACACCACTAATAACTTTTTTATTAGACCATTCAGTTTATGACTTAACTGCTACTTTCTGAATACGGTCTTTTAGCCAGTTTTTTTACCGATTTACAGACTGAATTTCTAAGCCCATGGAATTCAACTTACACATTAGCTATGTGTGGGGAACTGTGTCAAACACTTTTTTGTAAAGCTCAAGAATACTATATCTCTTTTTAAATAGAAGTACTGAATTGGCCTTATGCCAGTCTAGTGCTGCCAAGCCAGTCATTAACATGTCTCTTAAAAAGTAAAAACAATGGCTTTGAAAAGCTCAAGTCTCCCAAAAACCTTTATTTAGCTTTATTTTGTCTAAATGTTTCTGGGCCATATTAATTTTGAGCCATCTGGGTTCTTTTTGGACTATGTTAATACTATCCCCATGATGGACTTGAGCTCCCCCATTTACCTTTGTATACACAGAACTGCAAATGGTATGCCTTCTCTTTTTCTCCAGTAACCAACTCTAATTTATCTTGTAAATAGCCTACATGCTCAGAAATAGCGTTTTTGCTATTGGTATATTTGAAGAATTTTTGGGGGTTTGTCCTACTCTTTTGCGATTTCTCATTCATTTTGAATTTTTGTGTCCTTTTCACAAGAGATGGTGTTTCTTCATTTGTATATTTTGAAATACCCTTTTCTTCTTTTTTGCTTTTTTTTTTTTTTTTTTTAGTTCAATCTGAGTAAGTGGGGAAGAACAACCATCTTCAAGGTATTTTCTCTGCCTAACCAGGGCAATCGACTGGTGGCATAGCATAAGTCCTATGAAGTAAAGTCAGAAATTGAATCGAGTTGAGTTGGGACATCTATGTGGGTATCTGAAGTTTTAGATAACTGATAGAGGTGGAACCAGTTTTGAAATGGAAGGTGGAAAAAATGCTCCACAAGTCCTCTGAGGCTAAAGAGATGATGAGCAGTTCTCATTTGGTATAATTCACTTTGAAGTTTCTGACCCGTCCAAATATTTGGACTTCTTGCATTATGGAGGGTAGGGATATATGTGGCTGTGTTACAAAAAAGAAGTAGGTCATCAGCAAATTTAGTATGGAGGGGGCCCACTGATACTCCATTGATATTGGGATCGTGCTGTAGGGGTGCTGCAAGGTGTTGCATAGTAGGTGAGAAGAGGGCATAGGGGGCACC